GGAGTTTCTTGGTATTTGTTGCTCTTTTGGCCTCCACCCACTGAGACAGGTGAGCACCCCAGAGGCTACAGAGGAGGCGGGTGGGGTGGGGGTTACCCAAATGTTTACACATGGTGCGGGTCCTCCTAATCCGCCTCTACAGCCTCAGGCAACTTACCCACGACCTTCTGAGACACTATGAAGATGCATACTGACAACCTGGCTTACAATCACACAAAGCTATGACACACACACAAGGCACACCTGAACGTGAGTGTGTGTTTGAGACGCAGTTTGTCTTTGATTGAAAGCGACAAGATGTAGAGAGGCCTTCCCTGACCTTGTCTCACCCGGTGGGATTCTTGCCCACTGAAACGGTCAAACAGCGATCTCTCATTTAAAAGCCTAGAAAAATGGCGACCATCTCGCACGTACACGGCAAGACTTTTGGACCTTTAACCTCTCCTACCCCCGCTTTACTCTACCACCAGAACAGCTGCAGTCAGATAAGCGGACATGCAGGAGACACACAGGCAGGATAGTAAAGACACAAAGGGGCTATTGACAAACTTGTGGAAATAACCCGGTCTAATTATGGTTCTTTGTCATAAGACGGGAAAGCTACCAAGTCGATGGAGGGCCAGGGATCCAACACGCAGTAAATCCAGAAAATCCCATAATCAGTGCCTTCTGACAGATGATGGATGCGATGAGATTCTATGAATAGGAGTTCTGATTTAAGATGTTTTGTCAGGTTACACGGACAGAAATAAAATTTACTACAACACATCTTAGAAAAAACACATTAGTTTACAGTATTGTATGTGAATTTAAAAGCCAGATCATCAAAAAAAAAAGTGGTTTAACAAATAACTCAACAACCATTTGTTGTTTCATAGCTTCTCCAATAACAGATTACAGTAAGTAATGTTGCTGACCTTACACTTTAAGGTCAGCAACTAATGGTTATGTTCATAATCCATTAATCTGTGGATTAAAAAATGTGTTTTTGATTAATTGCTTCGTCTATAAAATAGTAAAAAATTTGCATCACAATATTCCAGAGCCCAGAGTGACGTCTTCAAACATTCTTTTGTCTGAACAGCACATCCTGAGCAATAAGTAATGTTTTGGCAATTTAGGTTGATAAACATGGTAAACATTTAAAGTGCAAGGCTAGCGATTCTCTGTAGTTTTCTTGTGCTCAATCATTTCCATATAAGGACCAAAAATCAAATCCTCGGCGACAGAGCTCCACTGTTATCCGAAAACTATTCACATCAGCGAGCCACACTGTTGCACTGGATGACATGTTCCTTCATTATCACGAACACAAACACTGCAGTTTATTTTCAGTCAAGCCCCAATAAACCCTCCTGCAGCCGTAAATAGTTAATAATATCAAATGTATTACTCCGCTGCTGAAAATAGTCCCCAACAAATGCACTCTTTACTCCTTTTTTTTTTAGTTAAGGATGATAAAAACTACTGTGCCCAGCAATTCAAGGGAACTATTCAGCATTTATCGAAAGTGAAACTCAACTTGTGACAGATTTTTAAAGATTTACATTTTCAGTAGAAACCAATAGACTTGGCGTGAGAGCCACAAACGGGGTAGGGACCGGGGTAGGAAGGTATTGAGGCTAATGCATTGTTGGTTTAGGTATTTTTATGGAACTCGTTGACAGTACGAAAATATAAAACATGATCAACCTTATCCTTTAAAAGTTCTAGATTGTTTGTAAGTCAAAAAAGTCAAGCCGTATCCTTTAATCCTTTCTCAAAGTTACTTTTGATTAATTTTCTGTTGATCGACCAATCATACCAGCACTAGAAGTTTGAGAATAAATGTCTAACATTAAAATAATATGTGCCATTCTTGAATCTGCTGCAGTTTAATTCCAGGTTTGTATTTTTCTGGTTTAAATTCACTAAAAAGAAGGCTGCTGCGTTTGCTGTACTCAAACTGTCAATCAGTGCACTTTGATCCCAATCTGATCATTTGCCACTGAGCTCTCAAGAGGCTGACCTACTTTACTACAAATTGCTGATGCATCTCTTGCATTCATCTGCTCCTGTGTTTACTTGCACTCTCTTCCTCTCTGCTTTCTAGCTGTCTGTCCCACTTTTTTTCCCACCTGAGCACCAGCAGTTTCTCCTCACCCCCTCCCCCACCCTCATTTTTGCTTTTATTGTCTGGACAGGTATGGACAAGCCAGCTTGTTGTTTTGAAATGTGATCTGGTAAAAGTGGAACACACCTAACAAGCTGGCCATCCAGAAATGATTCTACTTTAGCACAGAGCTAAAGCTATTAACTATTGTTATAGCCTTAACAGTGTCATTGGGATTAAAGCAATGAATTGAATGAGAGCTAAACAACCTTGAAGAAGCTAAAAACAGTTGCTGCAGTTTCACTTGAGAGCAACACCTTGTTTGTCTTTTTTTCTCCCCAGAAGAGCAAAGGGGCACAAAAAAACAACAACATTTTAGCGAAGAAGCAACGCCTCCTAAACCAGAAAAGTATTATCTTGAGTGAGTACAAATGCAAAACCCACTGCGTCTTGTGAAATAACCCGAGGGCTACAGTGCTAGACAGGTGTGCAGCAACGCAGTCGGGGCGGTTTCAGCGCACATTGCCTTCAGCGCACATTGCCTCTGGGCTCGAGTTTCTTTCTGTTTTAACATTCGTGCACGGGCCAAAAATTCTCGGACATGCAGATTAACTAATAAAAGACAGAGCTTGTGCACTACTATGGTTTGTGCTTTCAGGGAACTGCAGCTCTTTGTTCGTCTTAAAAACATTTTTTTCTTTCAAGACAAAGCCATCACATTACTGTATTTGTATTAAGTGAATGCACTGGGTTCAACTCAGGTGGTCTCTTTTATAGTCCAGGTTTAAGTACAAGTTCACGTCCAACTTCATAGGCGCTCAAACCCCCAGATGAGACCCTCTGACCCACGGAGACACTTTTCCACATTCCCTGGATGACTCAGCAAGCTCATTCCTCTGAAATTGACCACTAAACCGAGGCAAGAGACAAACAAAGCAGCTCGACTATCCACGTGCAGCAGCGAGGGCTGCTATTATGGGCTATTAAGGCCACTGCCATTTAGGCCACAAGCCAAAAAAGCCTGGAAAGCAACAGGGCCTCCTCAAAATATTGGTGTCACTGATGTTTAAAGGGCAGGTTGCTCTCAGTCATTGATGCCTAATGATTTTACCCTAGTTTGAAGAAAAACGACAGGCAGAGACAGTCACCTTCAGGTTAGCAGCTGAGTGTGGTGGAAACACCATAAGGAACACAGTCAGCATTTGCAATGCTGGGCGAGGTGAGGGAGGTATGGGGTAGAAGGAGGTTGAGGTGTGGCCTCCTGGAACGCTTCCCCACACATATACGTACACACATATACACACGCAGCCCCTGTCTGAGCGGCAGGTGATGGGGCAGGTGCTCTCCAGACATACAGTTGTGGGGGGAGGGAGGAAGTGGGAGAAAGGTGGGGCCCTGCGGTGAGCTGAGTTATAAATCTGGGTCTGATATGAGCAGGCATGCAGAGGGAAATCAAATGTACAGCGGTCAGAGGCTAGACATTCAATCACAGCAAAAGGTCTATGTGATGACTATTCAGAAAAAGAAAAATCTCAAGTGCAAATAACGTGCGGTAAAACAGGTCCTGATTTATGCTTTGTGCTGGTACACGTCTGCCCAACGTGCAGGTGGTGCATTCCAGTCCAGACATACCATAGTAAATCGGGTAATCCAAAAAACACCCACAGCTATCCATTTGTGCTCCAGCCAAAATATGTACCTCCAGACTCTCCACACAACTGCAGCAGACAATGCACATGACAATACGCTTCGTCATTGGGACGGCAGACAGAACAGGCAGCCATCACCTCAGCCCACCCTCCCACTGATGTAGTTTGGAAGACGCCGGGGGAAAAGTCTGGAAGGTGGTAATGTGTTTCACATGTGGGTCACAACTGTCACACTGAGAAGAAGGGAGAAGCTTCCCCTAGAATTAAAAATCAGGACCTGGCTGCTGAATGTCATTACTGCGCTGTTGTTCATCCCTCGTGAAGCCGTGTAAATGACTCGGACCAGATGGAGGCTCCCCATGAGTTAATAAACAAAACAGTGAGACAGGGTGAAAGAAAACTTAAACCCCTGTGCACTCTGGGAAATGCACATGAACACACACACACACACACACACAGATCCACGTAACCAACCCGAGGTTCTGTCTTCGCCTGAAGCTACAGGCAGAGAGGGTGTTTGAGTCTTATGCTAAAATATCCCACGGAGGAGAACAGAGAAGTTTCAGCCATGTACAGTTTTTTAACAACCCCTCATCCAACATACTCCAGACATGCACTTACCTGCCCTGCTCCGCAACAACTCTCTGCTGCACTGTAACCATCACATTCAAGGCTCACCTCACTCGGCACTGCCTAGGGAGCTGCTGGCAACATTATCGATGCAAACAGTGACTTGTTCAAAGAGAATACATGAATGGTGAAGCCAACGATCCCACTGGCAGGACAAGTGCGTCTACTTGCTGCTGGGTATTTGGCTGCCTCTAACTTTTGTGTTGCAGGAAAGTGAAAATGAAATGTCAGATTTCACAATTCAATCCTGTACGCCACTGCAATGCACATACACATAGGCCTATTGAAAAACTAACATTTAAACAGTTGCCGTTGTTAGTTGACACAAAACAACGTCAAGGCAAACCAGTCCTGATAACAGGTCTCATACCTGTGTTGTTTCCTGGATTCTACGTTGAAGATTTATACCTTTGTGTTCAGAGCTGTCATTTCATGCGATGCACCTGACAAGCTGCACAGCACTGCTTTTCTCCCAAGTGCACCACACACAGCAGACCCTTCACTCTCAGGCAAATAACACAGCTCAACTTTCACTCAGGAGCAAAAACAAATCTCCAACTGGGAGCAAAAAGACCATTGAGGGTGAATGAACGTCTATGCTTGGTTAGTTATTGTTGCTGTTACAGTACCTCATTGGTGTTTGCAGCCTAGTGCGTGTGCTGGATCGTAGCCAGCAGCTGTGTGTGAATCTATGCCATCCCAGGGTCAGGCCGAGCCACTCTGCTATCCATTGCTGCCTTGTGTTCCTCCCGGCTTCGCTCCCCTCCTCTCTCGGTGTCTTTTTCTTTTGAGACTCAGCTCAGACTTTTCCAAATCTGTGCTCCTCTGCCTGGTTCTTCTCCTCCCTCTTGTTCACCGCCTCCTCGGGAAAAAAACAAAAACAGGTTGAAAAACAGCCGCCACTTGCTGCTCTCAGAGCTACTTGCAATGCAGATCCCCGATAAGCTCCTTTGCTCTCCCTAGCCCCTCGCTCCTTTTCCCTCCCTCCCTCCCTCCCTGCTGCTGTTGGGGAAGTGCTCTCTCATTTTCTCTCATTCTCCTCCCCCCTCTCTCGCCCTTCCTCAAACTCTAATAGTTATTTAGTGTCTCATTCCAGCACCTGCTTCAAGCCAGAAAGAGACACAGACAGGAGGGAGCACACAGACTTGAAGAAGAAAAATGTTGCTCCTCGGTGGGAATGTGTACAATTTGCATGTGCACTTTGTCAGCAAAAGCCTGTGTGCTCATGCACTTTATTTCAATGTGGGAGGTCTGCATTCACAGCGAGTACAAAGACTAACATGCAATGCAAAAGTGCACATTTGCATGTTCGCCTTTTTACACGTACACAGCACTGTGTGCAGATCCATCGCTTGAAATGATGCGTGTGCGTGTGTGTGCCTTCATGCAACTTTTTCTAAACGTTAAACCGAGTTGGTGACAGAAAAAAAAA